TGATTAGATTGGTCATAAACATTATCCTATGACTATTAAAATTAAAATTAAAATAAAATAAATTAAATGAACTTTAATTCTTCTATAAATCATTTGATTTATATTTTCAAAAATCTATCACGTTGCTTTATATTAATAAAATATTAATAAAATATGTTATTTTAAATAAAATTCCATGTCTTTATGATTATTAAAAAATTAATTCATGTACGTAAGCCCTCATCTAATTGTACTGATCTTTATAATCAAGTACCAAAATGAATTGATTCAAAAATGTTACAATCTGTTTTTACAAAAGAAGCCGAAGAAATCAATAAAGTTTTTATTTTATGTATTTGCTCGATCATTTATTATTACTGGTTTGTTAAGAAAGATATCATCAAACATAAAAATCATTTATTTTTCGAAGGATCTGAATCAATGCCTGTTCCATGGTGTACAGATTTTTTAACTCATATTATGCAAATAACACCACATGCATGGTCAGCATCAACATTAGAAGCTATGCCAACATTTATGGCTGAATGGTATCATGCTCATCCAATAAATGATGCTTATAGAGATATACGAGCACGTGTTGATGATGATTATAAAAAATTGACAAGTAGAATTTTGTTTTATTTTGATTTGTTTGTTTATATAGATTCAGCTTCATGTGCAAATGAACAGGAAATTGTGAAACATTTTAGTCAACCAAATAACACAACTTGTTTTTGGTAGGTTTCATATTCAATTTGGGATAAATAAAGAAAGTATTTTGTCTAATCTGGGAATATTATTATGACAGGCAATTTGCATTGCAGTCGGTAGATTAAATCTAAACAGACGTTTTAGTCGGAATTACTTTTAGAAATATAGGTCTCTTGAAGGAGAACTCAATAGTTGTTTGTCTCTTATCTACAATTCTAAAAACTTTTGGTAAAGAGAAATGTACAACTTTCCGAACTATATCGAAAGGACTTTTTTTTTACTGTGTTCGATTGAATATTTGATTTATTTTAGTGTATTTCTGAAATTGACTATTGAAGATCGTCCATTACGATTCTATATAAATACATTTTATGAGTAAGTCAATCTATATTTCTGAATAAGAATATAAGATTTTTGCTTTTTCAAATAATTAGAATTTTTAAAAATCTTCTTATACGTTCAATGAATGCTCATTATCATCATACATTAGCTAAATATATATTACGAGAAATAACTTTACAACAAAATCATAGTCAAACATTTATGCAAAAAGTAAAAAAGAACATTTTTATTTATTATTAATTATCTTTTATATATAAAGTATGCAGATGCTGTTGTTCTAATGGCAACTCGTTATAATATAATACAATTTGATCGACTTTTACTTATTCTTGTAAGTTTTTAATTTGAATAAAAACAAAAAAAATTCAAAAGAAATTTTTTATATTAGTTTCTTCGACCATTGGATGAATCAAAAACACCATATGTTCTTATTCTTTTTTATTTTATGATTAATTCTAATGTCGGATTTTTTTTAAAGTGTTAACGACCATTTTCTGAATAACTTTTGATTACTTTGAGTTATCGAGCTGCGGTTTTCACCATTCAAAAGAGCA